GTTACTAATGTTGTGGCCCCACCCCATAACAAAGAAACAGAATTTCCGGAGGATGAGGCCCAGAAATCAGGATTTTAAAAAGATTCCCAGGTGATTCTAATGTGCAGCCAAGGTTGAGAACCACTGATCTATAGATATAGTATTTCCAAAGGTAGCTTCAATAATAGATCCATTACAAATCATTTCACTTCTAGGCTCTGCTCCGAGGGCAGGTTCCTGCCTGAAACCTTGCCCTGAGGGCAGGTTCCTGCCTGAAACCTCGCCCTCCAGGAAACAACTGGGGGAGTGCACAGCCTTTTCCAAGACGACCCCTGCAGGACTGACTTCCTTCTGGTTGGTCGCGGTTCTGGCCGTGATGTTACACCCAGGGTTTTTATATAAGTAGATAATAAAAGCATAATGTGCAAATAAACAGAAAGGTGGAAGACTGGTGCCTATGACGTGCACTGACCACCACGGGGAGTGCCGCTCAGCCAGAAGCCAGGCTCACAGCTGGCGAGCCTGGCAGTGTTGGCAGGAGCCTCTCCTGCCTCTGCTGCAGGTGGGCGGTAAGGAGCGAGGGGTCCCAGACTGCGAGAGGGATGTCCGCCTACAGGCTTAGGCCCTATCCCTGGGGGGAACAGGCCCAAGCTGGCAGGTGGACATCCCCCAAGGAGTTCTGGACTGCAAGAGGGCACAGGCCTGGCTGGGGGGACCCCCCCTCCAGTGCATGAATCTCATGCACCAGACCTCTAGTATTTGCATGTTAGCCTTTTATTATATAGGATAAGGATATTCAAGAAAGCATAGTGGTTTACTTCAGCCAAGAGAACAAACAAAACAATAAGCAACAGATCTAAAATAAACTACACAAAGAGAACAGGAGACATTAGAGGCAAACCCTATAGGGCTGATGTGATCAAGAGCCACCACCCTGTTGACCTCACTCTCAAGCTTCTCCAGGTGTATGTGTCAGAGGCTGAACACCAGGATGAAAGCACCTTGTGCTTGACCCAGGCTGGACTTTGTATTATCTACTGATACTCTGTTTTTCTCTCTGCATCTGTTTTTTCCCCCATGTTTACACCTTCTATAAGTGGTTTCCTCTCATCTCCACAGAAAATACGATGACAAAAAAGTTTGAGTTAGAGTCAGAAGAAGAAAAGAAAAAATTAAGTGAATCCTACAGTACTCTCTTTGAGAACGTCACTCAAGAGAAGGAGGTGAGTCAGTCCAAAGCACATCGGTGGAGGAATGTGCAGTCTTGATGGGACATCCGGTTTCCAGGGTGCCCTGGTAATTAGATCAGCTTTCGTCTTCCTGGGAATATTTTTCCTTCCCAAGCTTCCCTGGAGCATATGCAAGTAGACAGACAGTTTTGCTGTCCTTTATCTATATAGCCATACCACAGGGTTATTGGAATGAAACTTGTAATTAACAAGAAATATAGAATGTGAAACATGCAGAAGCTGAAATTCCCTATTTTGCCAAAATCCCAGTCTCTGAATATCCTTCTCACTCTTGACTATGACAGAATTGAAAGGGTATTGTTGCAAATTAAACTAAGTAAATGTGGTCATGTACGACTCTTAGTAAATGAGGGTAGCTAACTAAAAGTTAGAGGTTGTGAGGGTTAGCTGCTCCTGTAAGTCACTCCCCTACAACCTTGACACTGATACCAGGTTATAATGAAAGCAGGTCTCAGACCAAATTCTAACAAACACCTGGACATTCACTAAACAAACAGGCATTAGCCAGCAAGTCCAGGCAATTATATCACCAGTTCTCTGAGTTTTGGGGTGCATGATAGAGTCAACATGGGTATTTGCGATGGCATTATAGAAGTAGGCTTCTGTAAGCCTACTGTAACCCTGCAGTCAGCATCAGGCAACCAGAGTTCCCATCCCTAAGTGCACAAGCTACAGGCTTTGTTAGATTTTTGTACCCATTTCATACAAAGTGCAAAGAATCTCTAATATTCCATTTTTAAGAGCCCATTTCTAACCATCATGTTAATTGAAAAGCCACTAATTTCACCAATGAAAGCCCATGTATGACATTCACTATATTACTGAGCAAAACAATAATGAGGAGATGGGGCATGTTCTGCAATAATGCTTCTGGGGTCTGGAGAGCTCACATGTCTGAATGGTAGTTCAGTGGTAGTTCCTCTTAGTGGGGAGAGATTTGATTATCTGCATGTATTTCTTCTTCCTCCAATGACGCCGATTATGAACCTACAAATGGGTGTTTTTTCTCTCTCTCGTATATAATTTATACTTAGCAAAATGCACAGATATTAAATGTATAGTTTGATGAGTTTTGACAAATGTATATATCCATGTAACCAACACCCAAATCAAGATCTAGAACATTTCATCAACCCAGAAAGCACTCTAGTGTTCCTTTCCAGTAATCCCTCCCTCTGTCAGATTTGCCCCAAGACAACTACTCTTTTGATTCCTGCACCATAGATTGTTTTTTCTTATTTTTTTAAACATATTTTATTGATTTTTTACAGAGAGCAAGAGAGAGGGATAGAGAGTTAGAAACATCAATGAGGGAGAAACATCGATCAGCTGCCTCCTGCACACCTCCCACTGGGAATATGCCCGCAACCAAGGTACATGCCCTTGACCAGAATCGAACCCAGGACCTTTCAGTCCGCAGGCCGACACTCCATCCACTGAGCCAAACTCTTTAGGGCTTTTCTTATTTTTAAACTTCATGTAAATGGAATCGTACAATATATGTTCTTTTGCGTATAGCTTTTATTTTTCCTCAATGTAATGTCTGTGAAATTTACTCATTTGGTGTTCATATCAGTTATGTTTTCCTTTTTTATTATCCAGTAATATTTATTTATAGGAATATCAGATAATGCATTCACCATTTCCCTGTTTGGGGAGATTTTGGTGGTTTTCGTTTTTTGACTTTTACAAATAAAGTTTCTATAAATATCCTGTACAAATACTTTTGTAGACATTTGCTTTCATTTCTCTTTGGCATACCTAGGAGTGCTATTGCTGAGATCGAGGGTGGGTATAAGTTTAACTTCATGAGAAACTAGAAGCCCAGTGCATGAAATTCGGGGTCTCTAGAGGCTGCCGGCCACCGGCCAGGGCCTCCCTTCCCCAGCTGCTGGCCACCAGCTGGGGCCTTCCTTCGCTCCGAGCTGCCCCCAGGTAGTCAGCGCACATCATAGTGAGCGAACTCCCAGTCGAACTCCCGAGGGGACACTTTGCATATTAGGCTTTTATATATATAGATTACCAAGCTATTTTCCACCATTTCACTCTGTGTCTTAAATATATGAGAAGAATTCCAGTTGCTCCATATCATTGACAACAGTATTACTAATCTTTTAATTTTGACCATGCAAATGAGTATGAAATAGTATTTTGTTACCGTTTTAGTATCCCTAATGACTAAATATGTTGGGCAGTTATTTACTGTATATCCTCCTTGGACCATATATATGTCTTCTTTTGTGAACTATTGGTTCACGTCTTTTGCCATTTAACAAAAGTGGGTGGTTTGTCTTTTTATTATTGATACGTAGGGATACTTTTTATATTATGGATACAAATTCTTTGTCAGATATATGCATTCCAGATTCTGTCTCTCAGCCTGTGGGAGTGCCTTTTCATTTGGCTCATGTTGTCTTTTGATGGGCAAAAGTTTTTAATTTTAATAAAAGTCTAACTATCAAGTTTTTTCTTTCATGGTTACAGCCTTTTGTGTCTTCTTTATGAAACTGTTGACTATTCCAAGGACATTAAGATATCCTTTTTTAAGCAAAATAAAAGCTTTATAATTTTAGCTTTCATGATTCTATGATCCATTTTGAATAATTTTGGTGTGTGAGATAGAGGTCATAGTTCTTTTTTTCCCCCCTGAAGGATATCCAGTTGATCCAGAATGATTTGTTTTTTAAAAAAACTTTTCTTTCTCTATTGTGTTGCCTTAGTGTATTTGTCATATCTGGGAAGTGGGGTGGTGGACTCTCCACTCTATTCCATTCAACTATTTGCCTTTACTTCAGCCAACAACACATTGTCTTAATTACTGTAGCTTTAAATCAGGAAGTAAAAATCTAACTTTGCTTTTGTTTTTCAAGATTATTTTGGTTTTCTGTATCCTCTGTATTTCTATATAAATTTTATAATTATCTTGTTAAGAAAACCTGCTGGTATTTTGACTGGAATTGCTTTGAGTATAAAGTTCAATTTGTGGAGAACTGCACAGTTAGCAGTACTAAATCTGTATGCTAACCAGAAAAGCCTTTGAAGAAAATACTTCTTTTACTATTTGTCAATGCGCTATGGTTTAACGTAAGTGAGATTTTCATTATTTAACTTCAACATGCGATGCCATTAGTGAACAATATGTGCTTCATGAAACCAACATGTAAACTTTGGTAACTATTATATTATATTTCTGAATTTTATTCTGGCTTTCCTAGTTTTTTAAAGAAGTGCCAGAACCCATTGCTGACCTTTTTCAAATAAAATTACTTTTAGGAGCTCTTGAAACAACATGAAAAGGACACCTTGCAATTAAAGGAGCTGAAAAAGACCAACGAGGTAAGCTTTCTCATTTTTTTTTCTGTGGAGTTAGCACCTTACAAATACATCAGTAAAATTATATACTGTCAATAAAATGGAATCAATGATAATTTCCCCAAAACTGGTAAAAAGAAAACACACAAAAAACCCACAGAAGAACTAAAGCTGAGTTTGCTAAAATCAACAAGTCAAAAAGGATTTTAGAATTATCTGTAAAACAAAGCCAGTAGTGTCTTTTTAGAGCCTGATTTGGACAAATATATGGGCAATATATTGTGTAATCTTCAATGTCAAAGGCCTTTCGTTTCTAGTATGGCTCAAACCACAAAAGGATTAAATAGTAAAATGCCAAATTCTTTCCTTCAACCTCTGAAAAGTACTATCCTGCCCCCTTGGAACTCTAACTCCAAGTCTTTCCTTAAAACTTGGAGTTTACATTATCCTCCACCCCAACCCCAGCCCCTCAAGGAACTCTCTCCTGAGACTTCCATGTGGAAGATACCTGAAGGAAAACCCTTCAAACCCACAAAGTGCCTTGTGATTCATCTTTCACTGAAAATTTAATTTGGATCCAGAATGGACACGTTTGGGACATGATTAGCCATTATGAAGGCATGGAATGATACCTTAGAATCCAGGCAGGGCTTCAATATTGTTGGGCAAACAGATTGCAATGTCCTACAAAGTGAAGGAATGGGCTTTGGAGCAAGATAGATCCCGTGCATTCTTTTTCTCCCCCTTTTTAGTGAATGTATTGGGGTGACACTGGTTAACAAAACTATACAGGTTTCAGGTGCACAATTCTACAATGCATCATCTGTACACTGTATTGTATATTCACCACCCCAAGTAAAGTTTCCATCCATCACTATTTTTCTCCTTATATCCTCCTCCATCTCCGTTTACCTTCCACCCCCTGACAATCGCCACAGGGTACTTTTATAACTACTTTACCGAGCTTGTCTACTGATTAGCTATAAATTAGTTACCTCCTGCATGAGCTCCAAACAGGGCCCGGGCCAGGGAGGAGCCTGCAACCAAGATATGTGCCCTTGACCAGGTAATTTTTTCATTGGATGTAAGCCATTGTGAATTTTACCTTTTTGGATGATGAATATTTTTGTATTCCTTTAAATATTCTTGAGCTTTGTTCTGGGATTCAGTTAAGTTACTTGGATACAGTTTGAGCTTTTCAATGTTTTCTTTTAAGCTGTGTTAGGCAGAATTACAGCAGTTTTGGGGCCGAATTTTTCCCCACTACTGAAATGATACCCTTCTGAGTAGTCTACCCAATACTATGTACCCTGGCTGGTAGGAATCTGAGCTATTCCCAGTCCTGTGTTGGTTCTGGGGATTGTTTCACCTACTCCATGCTGGGGACTCTTTCCCCCACAACCTCATTTCCTTTGGTTTGTTTCTCTCCATCATGCCACTCCAGTGGCCCTGGACTTCTTGCTGTTTATCAGGCTATGATGCTCCCACTTTGGAGTCTTTGCACTTGATGTTCTCTCCTCCTGAAAAATTCTTTGCCAGATATCCACATCGCTAGCTTCCTCACTGCCTTCCAGTCTTCACTCAAATGCTACCTTCTCAGGGGCCACTCAACAACACGCCTGGCACTTCCTTTTCCCTGTTTTACTTTTCTGTTCTTTTTTAAAAAATATATTTTATTGATTTTTTTACATAGAAGAAGGGAGAGGGATAGAGAGTCAGAAACATCGATGAGAGAGATTGATCAGCTGCCTCCTGCATGCCCCCCACTGGGGATGTGCCCGCAACCAAGGTACATGCCCTCGACCGGAATCGAACCCGAGACCCTTCAGTCCGCAGGCCGACGCTCTATCCACTGAGCCAAACCGGTTACGGCTCCCTGTTTTACTTTTCTACACAGACTTATAACCATCTAGCCTGATAAACTCAATAAAGGCAGGGATTTTTGTCTGTTTTCTTTACCACTAATCCCCGTTTCTAGAACAGTGCCTGGCATATCACAGACATTCTGTAAATAGCAACTGATTTTTTTGAATGAATAAATCAATGAAAAAAATGCAAAATGACCTGCTTTGTACAATGCAGTTGCAGTAAATGATGATGCCCTTCAAGTTTATGCAGAGTGGGAAGTTCCTCTACATGGGAATAGCTATGCGGATGGTAAGAGTTAAATGAGCTTGGCACCTGAAAGCAGATCCTAATCTAGTCCCTTTTTTTTAAATCCTCACCTGAAGGTATTTTTCCATTGATTTTTAGAGGAGTAGGAGAGGGAAAAACAGAGAGCAACATCAATGTGAGAGAAATGCATAAATTAGTTGCCTCCTGCATGAGCCCCAACCAGGACTGGGGCCAGGGAGGAGCCTGCAACCAAGATATATGCCCTTGACCTGAATCAAACCCAGGACCCTTTGGTCTGCAGGCCGACGCTTTATCCAGTGAGCCTAACCAGCTAGGGCTGGTCCATTTTTATAGTCACTTCACCATCTCTCTAAAGTAGATCCCATACTTATACTGTGTCCTCCACCTGCATCCTGGATTTGTTTTTAATCTACTATTGTAATTATTTTGTTTGCTTTTATTTATTTTTTTTATCTTTTCCTCACTAGAATGTGTCCCCCATAAGAGTAGGAATTATATTTGTCTTGCTCATCATAATATTCGTAGTACCTAATACACTGGATCTACCTTGCTCCAAAGCCCATTCCTACAGTAGGTTTTTTGTTTCTAATTAACAGACTTTTTTTAGAGCACGGTTAAGTTTACAGAAAAAATAAGCAGAAAGTACAGATTTCACATACACTCCCCATCCCCACACAACTTCCTCTATTATTAATATCTTGCATTGGTGTGTTACATTTGTTACAGCTGATAAACTACTATTAATATATTATTTTTAACTAAGGTTCATAGTTTACATTAGGGTTCATTATTTGTGTTGTACATTCTATAGTTTTTGTCAATCATGTTATATAGTCACCATTGTAGTATCATACAAAATAATTTCTCTAACCTAAAGATCTTCTGTTCTCCACGTATACATCCTTCCCTTTCCCTCCCAACCCTTAGCAACCACTGATCTTTTTACTAACTCTATAGTTTTGCCTTTTCCAGAATGTCATATAGTTGGGATCTATCGTTGATATTTAATAAATACTTGTTTAATGAATGAATAATTGCTAGCTGTTGTGACAACCCATGTGAGCTCTGGTGAGGACTGGCTCTGGGGCAGTGACAGTGAGCTTGCAAAGGAGGGTATAGATGGGGAAGACAAAGGGAGGGCGTAGGGTTAACAGGGCATAGTGACTGAATGGTGCAGAAGAAGGAGTAAAGTCAATGCTGCACATTCTAGTCCAGGTACCTGGAGAAGAGAATAAATGGGCAGATACCATCATGCTGTCCCAAAACAATTTCTTCTCACACAGATCATAGAGGAAGAGTTGCATGCACAAGCTATTATCCTGGAATCACTGAACACCACCCTCTACCAAACCCAGATGGAACTCCAGAAGGAGGTGAGTCCTGGCTGGAGTGGGGATGGGCATTTGTGGGAGGATCCCAGGTCTCTGTGTAGCTCAGCCATACAGCTCTGGTTGGGAAAAGATAGCTATTAAAATATACATGTCTTTCAGAAAGCTGCGGTGGCAAATCTGGAGAAAACACTCCAGACCAAGCTTGCTGAAACGGAAGAGAAGTTTAAATTCACCATACAGCTCCTGAGAGAAGAAAACATTCATCTGAGGTGTGAATGGGGCGCAAAAACATGGCTGACTTATCTTTAGGAATGGGGAGGGGGTTGGGTGAGGAATAGGTGAAGATGAACTCAGGTGTTTCCTAATGAAGTCAAGGCACAGGCACTTTCAGGAGGAAGATATTCACAGTGAGCCTGGCCACAGAATTTACCTGCTGTGGTCAAACAGTTCATTTGATAGTTACTATCTCTTTTTTTTCATGCTGTTGAGCATTTTTACCATCATTACTCTCAATTCTTGTTTCAGATAAATTTCTTATCTCTGCTTCATTTATTTCTTCTTCTGGAGAATTCTGTAGTTCTTTCATTTGGGTGTTGTTTCTTTGTCTCCTAATTTTGGCTGTTTGGGTTTGTGACTATGTTTTAGGTAGATCCTCTACACCTCTCCCATCTCTGATGCAGGACAGTGTTAAAGGCTGTTTCTGACTCATTGGATCATGCAAAGACTCAAAGCCTCCAGAGACTGCCTCTGCCTACGGACTAATAGGATTCCAACTTGAATTGCCCGCCCCCCCCCCCAGTTTGTTTGAAATGGTGCTGTGTCTCAGTTTTTATGCAAAATGATACATGGTATTTATCTGAGACTCTCTAAGTGTATTCAGGATTTAAAAAACGAAAGATTATTTTTAAACATCTCCCCTGAGAGTTTAGGGGTGTAGGTGTTAGTGGTTTACCCTTAGATGCAGCTATATTGGGTTCCTGTGGAAATCAATTTTAGGTCAGAAATTAAACTGCAACCTGAAGATGCATCTTAAATTATTGAAATAGCCCGGCCGGTGTGGCTCAGTGGTTGAGCGTCAACCTATGAACCTGGAGGTTACGGGTTCGATTCCTGGTCAGGACATATGCCCGCGTTGCAGGCTCGATCCCCAGTATGGGGTGTGCAGGAGGCAGCCAATCAATGATTCTCTCTCATTATTGATGTTTCTATCTTTCTCTCCCTCTCCCTTCCTCTCTGAAATAAATAAACTCAATAAAAATATTTTTTAAAAATTATTGAAATAAATTTTGGTCAATACTTTAATAAAGGGAACTAATTTATTATGTTGATTTAGTGGAAAATTCCTCACATGGGCATTTGGTCACCCACATATCCTGTCTCACTAAATTCAAAACTACTGCAAGTAATAAGTGAGACTGCCCCCAGTGAAAAAATGAAACCACACTTCTCTCTCCCCAGATATCCTACCCCACTGTCTACTCTTTGAGTCTATAGTGATACATTTTCTCTTTCTTTATAGGCAAAAGATAAATACCAAGAATGGAGGAATTTATGAAGAACGATCTGGAAGGTCAACCTGTATTACTATTTATGAGGATGATACTGAGACTTTAGAAGAGGGTAGCAACAAAAGACAAGAATTATGAGCAGAAAAGTTTTTCTCCATCATCGGAGTTGGTAGGAACACCATCTCTGTAAGCCTAGAGTACTCCTGTAGGTTTTCTTGAGAAATGCATAAGATGGGTTTGGTTTTGGGGTTGCCTTGATTCTACTTTCGTCTTTTCACAATTTGCTTTCTTCTAAGTGGTTGGGAATGTTTGAATTCTCATCTCAATTACATAGATTTTTTTTCATGATTTTCACTGAAAAGTGATGTGCTCTGTAGCTAGAGCTGGGCTTTCTCTGGGTGTACTATTTTCTCTTCCACCTTTACATATTTTTATTATGAAGACACTGATCTGAAAATTTTCTTTCTATAAAATGTTAACTATATTATGGACTGTACCTGGGGCATTTAGCTAGCAAGAAAAAATTTATTGGTTTGATTTCAAAAACCTCTCTTTTTCACATGTGTCCCCACTCTCTCACCTCTCAATCACATTCCCTAACCTGTGATTTAGGAAGAGTTTCTGATAATTCTTGCCAGATTCTCTAAACCATTGCTAGAATTCAAATGCCACTGTGGAGGCAACATAAATAAGTGAAATGGGCTGCACATAAAGAAAAACAATCTGACCAAAACAATAATTGGTAATTAGCAGCAGCTTCAATAGAGGGGACTAGATGGGGGAGGCAGTGAGAGAAACCATTCCATTGCTGCCATACAGAAGCATGGAGTTAATGGGATCAAATATTCTGATTTTTCAAGAGAAGGTATTCTAGTTTTTATATCACATCTCCCAATTTTTAAATATGAACAACACATTTTTTTTAAATATTGATTTCAGAGAGGGAGGGAGAGGGAGAGAGAGATAAAAACATCAATGATGAAAGAGAATCATTGATTGACTGCCTCCTGCACGCCTCTTATTGGGGAATCGAGCCTGCAAAGGCGTGTGCCCTTGACCAGAATTGAACCTTCAGTCTGCAGGCCGATGCTCTATCAACTGAGCCAAACCAGCTAGGGCTGAACAACACATTTTTAAAAAATACAATGGTGTGAGCCAACATTGGGGGGTTCAAGTAAAATGTATCTGTGATCCAAACATTTTCCACCTGTGAGATGCCATTGGCAAAAAACAAAACAAGCAAAACAATCTCCTGCAAACAGTAAAGTTATATTTTAATTAGAAGTACTTTTGAAAAACTAATTTTTTTAAAAAAACTTAATTAGCTTTTAAAAACAAGATAATTCATTAGTATTTCAAATGAAATTATAATTTTAAAAGCATGAATAAAGCACAGAAATGCTAGCAAAAAAGCAAATCAAGCATGTACAGAAAAATGCATATACTACAAGAGCACTAAGAGGAAAGGCTGAAAAGGGAATTTGGAAATAGATTGTAACAGATTTGTAAAACCATTTTGGGTTTTTAAAAGCTTTTAATGCAAGAAATAGTATTTTCCAATTTGTATTTTAAAGAAACGTGTAGTGCAAGTTACTTGAGACACAACAGTACAAGACGGACACTCTGACCCTGTTTTATTCCCCTGAAAGTCAGAAATACATGTCCCATGTGAAAGCCCCACCCCCACCCCACCCCCAACCCTGTATGAAGAGGGTAGAAGGCATCAATATTATCAGATAGGGAATTTAGGGCCAAGAAGGCTGTGTAAACAAAACTTGTTATTTCTTTACTAATTAAGACCAAACTTCTTTGTCTTATAAATTCTTCTCAAATTTATTGTTATTGTGTCTAAAAGATATAAAATCTGCCTGATTTGATAACTTTTTAAAAAATACATTTTATTGATTTTTTACAGAGAGGAAGGGAGAAAGAGAGGGATAGAAAGGTAGAAACATCGATGAGAGAGAAACATCGATTCATGTACCCACAACCAAGGAAGGTACATGCCCTTGATGGGAATTGAACCCGGGACCCTTCAGTCCACAAGCCCATCCTCTATCCACTGAGCCAAACTGGTCAGGGCAATCTTTTTTTGTCTCATATTTCTGTGAACTCCGGCATGTATGAAAGTTAATTTTATTTTTCTATTGTTAATTTATCTTACGTCATTTTAATTAGTATGAATAAAAAGGAAAAGTTTTCCTTACATATAATTGTAGTGTGGAGGATGGCTTGGAAAGAGAGGGACTGAAAGTACAAAACAAAACAATTCTTAACAATTTGAAGCAGCAGTCGCCAACCTTTTGGACCTCACGGACCACCAGTGGTCCGAGGACTACCGGTTGTCAACCGCTGATTTGAAGGGAATTAAATGATTTGGGGTTGAAAGCAGATCAGAGATGAGTGAAGTACATTCTGCCACTGTTTTTGAACCATTGTAATGTCGCATTTCTTTTAAACTTACTATCCTTTGTATCTACTATAGTTTTTAAAACTTTTTTATCAAATTAAAAATACAATTAAAATCATGCCTATGGCTATAAATATCTAGCTATCATTGCAAAGCCAGAAATTTAGGCTTCAATCTGCATAAAAATTAAATTGTCATGACTCCCATTCTCTCCCCTCTCTGCCTTCAAAAACTGGGGGGTGGGGACGTATCCAGTTTGACACAGTGGATAGAGCGTCAGCCTGCGGACCAAAGGGTCCCAGGTTCAATTCGGTCAAGGGCACGTACCTTGGGGCTCATGCAGGAAGCAAAAGGGAAAAATATCCTCAGGTGAGGATTAACAACATAAAATAAAATAAAATAAAATAAACGGGGGAGGAACAGCAGCATTTTATTAACAATTAAATTAAGCATAGTGTTATGCAAATAAATGATAGCATAAAGTAAAAGCATTACAGTACAAAAATTAAGCATAGTGTTCTACATCAATTAAGGGGGAAGTAGAGTTTTTTTCTCAGCGTGAAAGTGGGTTGTGGCATCTGCTTCCCCATATTCTTCTTGTCGTCCTTACTGCTCACTTCAAAGTTTACCTCAGTGAGGATGGTGAGAATGTCGTCACCCCTGGAAAACAGAACATAGCATTGTGACCATCTGTGAGGGGAAAACACTGGTAAACCCGTTCACCTGCTGTGCTTATGATAGCTATTTCTCTCAAAACATCAGGCAAGCCCCGCTGGCATGGCTCAGTGGTTGAGCATCGACCTATGAACCAGAAGGTCACAGTTCGATTCCAGGTCAGAGCACATGCCTGGGTTGTGGGCTCCATCCCCAGTAGTGGGCGTGCAAGAAGCAGCCGATCTTGGGTTCTCTCTCATCATTGATGCTTCTGTCTCTTTCTCCCTCTCCCTTCCTCTCTGAAATCAATAAAAAAATATATTTTAAAAAAACCTCAGGCAGATGAAATAAGTTGCTAAACCAAGACCTACCATAGCATTTCAGGTAAAGGATGTTTCAGAGCTTAATAACTTACCTTTGGTTTCCTCAGGATCTCTGCAGACCCTCAGAAACCTCAGTGTTAACATGAGATTTGGTTTCTTCCCCTCCCAATCTGTTTGTACCTCACTCTACTCCAGCTTCTATGTTACTTGCCCCCATCATCCTCTCAGTGATCCCTAACATCCTCTGCCCCAAATTGACATTGCTTCTGTGGATTCATCCATGATGCAACCAAACTTATGGGAAGTGAAAATCCAGTGTCTCCTGCAACCACACCACCCCTTTCTCACCAGTCTTGCTATCCAGTTTAATTGGGCCACC